TCAATCAGATCTGCCTGCACATCCCTCCAGAGAAAAGATCCTTCTCCCTGGCTCTGGAATGGATATACATGTCTGCACGAATGTGGAGGAAAAGGTATGTGGAGACGGTTGCTGTGGTTGTGTAAATCTTGCACCAAATGTCAGGAGTGTTCAAGCTTGTTTGCCAGAGCCTCCCAAATTCCCATACAGGATTGGCAATTAGGACTGTTTGGGGAAAATTATGTGGGCTGAGTGTTTGGAGTGGGCTCTGTTGCTACAGCGGGTATGATGCAAGAACTCAAGTGCAACGGTGAGGTGCCTGGTCCCTCCTGGTGACTCCGCAGAACATCTCCCTGGGCAGAACCTCAGCTCCTGTGAGAACAGGGAGTTTAGGTCAAAGGAATCTTTACAAAGGGATGTTTACTGGTGTCTCAGAAGAGCAGTGAACTATGAGTTTCAACGGCCACTCTCCAAGCTTCTTGTAAAGAATGGAATGAACAGAGACTTGAGTTGGAGTTTTCCCAAGGGAATGAAGAAAACACACACACATCTAAACTAAATTATTCATTATTGTGTGTCTTTACAACTTGAAATATAAATAAGCCATGTTTTAGAGCAGGAAGCCTCTGAAGACAGAAGAAAGTAAAGCAAAGATTAGAAAAGTGCATTTGCAGAGCTAGAAGAGGGGGACTTTACTTATTTGGTCCAATCCTTCCTCTTCTCATATAGAAGCAAAAGAAGTCTGGGCAGACAGTGGCTTTTGTACGCCATACAGCTACAAGTGGGCAGTATCTAAATCAAATGGTTCCTCTTCCAAACCACGTTGTTTTTGAGCATCCCTGTGTCTGTACCTAATTATGGTTCAGGTAGTGAGACTGGATCTGCTATCTCCTCCTGACCAACCCCCACATAACTATATGGCCATTTACAACTCTGTCTGTTGAGCAATGGGATGGAAGGAAAGAGAGAGAAGGAAGAGAGCAGTGAACTGGGAAGAGAGTTTAGGGAAGATCCTAAACTGGCTGGTGTTTTTGAGCAGATTTTACCTCACTCCACCCGTGGAAAAATAGCTAACACATTTGCTACCTGGCCTGGTTGGCATGTGGTGACCCTTCTTTTGGGTTTAGCCAGAAATTACTATAGATGCCAAGACCATGAATCTTCAATGACAACTTAGTTTAAGAACCCCCCCCCCCGACTTGAGACACTTTAACTTCATCTTCTTATGACCCTTGGCCCTGGAGTTCTGTAAGTATCCCAATACCGGAAAATCCCATCTACTTCTTGGCTTATAATGAGCTCGGCTGGAAAATAAGCAAAGCAGAAGTACAGGACAGACGGCAGAGAGCTGAAGCTGGGCAAGTTGGCCCCCGTGGTGTGACTGCTTCAGTTTTAGTCATCAAAGGCTGGAGCTGCTCAGACTTGTCTATCAGGGTCAGAAGCGTGTGAACACCTATTGAGATTTATTGTGCTGTTGCAGGAGGGAAATTGTGCATATAGGCAAGGGCCTGGATCCCAACAAAAGTGAAAGATTATGGTGAACTTTTGCTTTGGAGGACAATGGGGAGATGATTTGCAAAGAGAAGATAAGTTTCCCAATCTTTCAGGGCTGAAAGAACCTCTGACCAAATGCACCTGCATGTGGAATGATTTTTCCAGCCACAGCTGGAAATTACCTGAGACCTAATCAGGCCAAAAATTGAGATTCCCAGCATCCCCCAGCAGAAATTGCCCCAGGAGCTGAATTCTTCCTATCCACTTCTCTGTTTCCTTAGTTTCCATCCAGGGACATTTTGGTTCCCTTTCACTCTGTGAATGTCCAAGCTGACTAGAGAGAGAGAGGAGAAATTGTCTTATCGTCTTTTTTGCTTTTCTTTGTCTTTTTTGTGTTCCATTTGTCTTTTATGGAGCACAAAATGTCTACAGGCAATGAGACCACATAGGTTTTTGCTGTACCCAACAGGAAGTGAAAACAGAATCTGATAGTGACCTTGTAGTCCTAAAATCACCTGTAGGACTTTATTATAGGACTTTACTGGGGTTTTGTGTGCTCAGATCCTGATGGCTAACTAAATTCTCTAGCATGCTGCATATAGAGGCTACCCTCAGAAACCTACGTCAAACACTACCTTCAAAACAACCATCCATTCACTGAGTGGATTTGCTGAATTTTCCTCAATAGTTGAATAATGATTCTTCTTGCTTCTCAAAGGGTGAGAAAGGGAAGGCTGAATAACTGCTCAGCTGGTTTGCTTCTGAAATGATCTTGATTCTTCAAAAGTATCAACAGAATCAATTTAAGAAATAGGGCTACCAAAGCCCCAACATACAAACCTCCCTGGAGTTAGTGTATGTGACACTGTGTCACATAGACTGTGTATGTCAGAGATAGGGAGGATGAAGAGGGAGAGAGGGAGAAAGAGAGAGAGAGAGAGAGAAGCGCACATGAAAGGCTGAGCATTCAGATCTACAATGGCTGTATTAATACACACATAGTGACAAGTACCCTATTTAAACTAAGGCTTTTAAAATATACTTGGGATCTATTTTTTTTCACTTATGACACCTTTTCTAGGCAAAGGAAGCCCCAGTGGGCGTTCCATGGGAAGGATGGATGAGGCCTTACAAAAATAAGACATAGTACTATGTCAATTCCACCTACATGCTAGGTTTTCAGGGTAGTCTCGAATTTGATGAATTATTTATTTTCAATATAATTTATAACTTCTAGATAAGTGTGATTTCCTTAGCATAGTCTCATGAGACAATGTATGTAGTAAAAACTGAGCAAAACCTGACTAGAGACATCATGTACTTCGGCTCTCCTGAAAACAATGTTCTCTTACATAGGCTAATGGAACAGCTAGGAACAAGCTAAAGGCAAAACAAACTAGAAAGATCTTCAGGCAGGTGACAACACACATTGTCTTCCTGTGAGTGCTTCTGAGAAAAGTTCAATGTACAAGTACTGAAGTGACCTTTCATATGGGGAGAACCATTGTATGGAAAGGCCTCCATGGACCCACATAGCAAAATCCAGCATGTTCCTGGATGTTTTCCCTAGATACATCTACTCAGGGGAGGAGAGCACCCCCATATGGGGAGTGCCACTTACAGACTATCTAGTGTAGTTCCACAGCTAAACCAAAGACTATCACCTTGGTCTCTCTTGTCTTCTATAAGAGTCTCATTGCCTATCGTTGCTGCCCTGTTAACTGTTTCTCAAATGCAGGTGAAAGCAACCAGCATTCAAAAACCATCTGGCAGCTGATGTGGTGGTGCCCACCTGGAATCTTACAACCCTGACTGAGCAAGAAGGGTATGAGTTTGAAGTTAACCTGCACAGCAAGACCTGGTTTCAAAAACCAAAAACCAAACCAAAACAAAATAATCATTAATACTGCTCCAGAGTGATCCTTGTTTAAAAACAGTTAAGGTTTATGAGACAAAACAAAGAAAAAAACAGTAATTAAAAAAAAAAACAGGAATCTCTTTTGCATGGTCCTTGTTTTCAAACAATTAAGGTTTATGAGATTAAAAAACAAACAAAAAATAAAACAAAACTAAGTAAAACAAAACAAACGAAAGAAAGAAAGAAATCTCTTGTCTTGTATGTGTTTCCAAGCTATTTGATTTGAAGGAGAGAAGTTACAAGAGAGGCTAAAAGAAGAGGCAATGTCTCAGTACCCTTTCTCAGAGATGCTGGGTCCTATTACTATTTACAAATGTCTCCCAACTCTACTTGCCTCAGAGAACACATGCACTCTGACCTATGGACCAGGTTTCAACTGCTCCTTAGAGTCAAGTGTATTTTGTTTCTCAGTGGTTCAAGTTCCCAGCTAACCCTTAAACCCAGGAATCTTAGGAAAATACTGTGCGTTATTCAACAGAAGAAAATAGTAGACACAATTTTAGCTTGCACAACCAGTCATTAAGGATTGGCTGGCTATGTACCATGGGCAAACCACCATGCTGTGCCAATTATATTTCTTCCTTGAAACTTTCACAGCCCTGGGAAAGGATTCTATCTGAGAAGTTGTGGGGAGCCATTCTTTGTCCCTACTTGACGGTTTGAGGCTGTCTGGACTCTGTCATAGGAATATTACCTTTATAGGATTTTATATAAAGGTTGGCTTTGTGCTCCTTTCTCACTGAAGGTGAAGAATGCTTTTCTGTTTTGTGATGATTTTCAGGATCTTTATATAATGGAACACTTTCTACATATTATATTTCAGAATGATATGAAAAGAGGCACAGCCAACATATGTCCCTTTGTGTGAGGAAGCTAAAATACTCAGCCATGTAGATGGAGGAAGTGATTTGTATATTGAGAATAACTTTTTTGTGAGGAAGTCAAATGAGAATCTTATGAAACAAATAGAAACAAAGATCAAACAATCACACTTCACCATGCTGTCTGAATGCAAGTCAAACAAGTATGTTTGAATATTTAAGTCTGGTTAAAATTTAGGTTGACTGTGTCCTTTTACTTTTCTCAAGGTAAACAGTGGTTATATGCAAATAGTTGTTCTTAGTTCATTTAAATTCCCCATCACACACACACACACACACACACACACACACACACACACACACACAAATAGGGAAGGCAGAGCAGCTGTGGCATCCATGGTCACCTGCCTTCCAAGAGTATGGGCACCCACTGAAACTCTGAAATATTTAATTTAGACAATGCACAAAAAATGCAAGTTGTCAGAGTTCCCTACGACAGATGCTTTCAATCAATGCAGGTGCCCATTCTACTGCTGGAGGGGGAAAACTTCTAGAAGCTTCTAGCAGAATCATTGTGCAGAACAAGGTAAGCCATGAACACTTTAAGGAATACCACACCGTGTGTGCTCATTGTCTCAAGTCCCTGGAGTGTACCACACTGCTTTCCTCCTGTCCCCCTGGGAAAACAGCATCCACAGTTGTGCATTGAGACAAAGGGAAGCTGGCAAGAACATATCTTCTGTTCAAAGTGGTGTCTCCAGCATCATCCATACAGACAACAACACAAGTAAGAAAATTAGACCGTTATGAAGCATTATTTGGCAAAGACACAGCACGGTGCCTGTCATCATGGGTGTACAACAGCTCCTCTAAGCCTCAGCTAACAGATTAAGTAAACATCGAAACATGTGGATTTTTCCTTTTGTAAAGGAAGCCTGTTTAGAGCATCTTTTACCATAAGATATGCTGGGGGAGTTTATTCAAGAATTGGCTGAGAGTCAGGTCATTATTTTTCACGTTTCCAAGGCTCTTCGTCAACGCTGCAGTCAGCTGACTTCCCATTGGCCGCCAGAGTTACCTGAAAACAATTATGATCAACATCCAACTTACAGGCCATGAAGCACAAGACACACCACCCGGGGGTCATGTGGAGAAGCACCAGATCCAAGTTTACAGTGTATGTTGAAACCATAGTTTTAAATGGTATTCCTTCAAATACCATTTAAGTTCTGTGACTTTGAAGCCATCCTGGTATTCAACAGGGAAGAGAGAACTAAATTGTCTCTACTTTCCTGGAGGTTATTGAGGGATCACTGGTGGTCAGCATTGTGGGGGCAACTTCAACAATATTTTTAGGGTTGTAGGGTATCTCAGTATCCGTGGACCCATCACATATTACGGTAGTCCTTAAAATACAGTGAGTGACATGTGCTACTCCATACAACCATATAAAAAATCCAGAATTAGGCAGCTACTTCTACTCATGCATGTGAAAGGTTCAGTCACAGTGAGACGAGGTAAACTTAATACACATTCAGTCTTAATTACTGAACTCATGATGCTTTGACTCTACTGAATAAGTTAACTTTAGAAATCAAAAGGGGGAAAGGTTTAAAAGTAGCAATGTATTCCAAATCATTTCAATGTAGACACTTAAGAACCAATAATTAGCAAACCATATATACATTTTCCCCTAGCTCAGAGCAAACTGAACCTTTATGCAGGAGGGAAGTTCCCCCATCCACTTCTAAGCAGTTTCCTAGCTTACCTTCTGTCTGTCTGTCCTCAACGTCATGTGAAAACTTAAACCCACGATTGATATTCCACATAATGAAGAGACTGGATTTATGGAAGCATTAGAATATGGAGACATGACAAATGCAGCAAAGTTTGAAAGAAATCTGATCTTTTTTACCCAAGTGGCAATGAAATGCATGCATCAAGAGCATGCAGCATGCTAGGAACAGACAACCAAGTGACCTTTGGGAGCCATGCAATGAAAATATAAAAACTATCCATTCTTTCAATTTTCATCAGCACTCCCCCAACCAGCCTACACACCGTTGCTTCAAAAGCCCATGCAGTTAGCAGTGATGGCTCACATGCTGTTGTTACACATGAAAATTAAGAGGCTATTACATAACTCCAAACTACCACTGTGAGGTAAGAGACTAGTATCACGACATGACAATGCTTGAAATGGTTAGAGTTTTGACCAGAGCTGCAGCAAACTGGGTTTCCCCACAATAAACTGTCAAGAAAGACTGCCAGAGACATACTGGAGAAATCTTCCTATTTCATGTGACTTTGAATATGTTTATTTGGCTCTCAGTGATCAGTCACATCAATGGCAGTGTGCAGCTATCAACCACAATGTGGCATCCTGGAAGAACCATTTAACATGTGGGATGTGTTCACCTTTTGTTTGTAAATACTGGGACCTGCATTTCTAAAGTAGCTGGAATAGTAGCTTTTCTGGTACTCTTTGTGCCCTAAGGAATCAAAGAAACTGGCAGTCCTCTCCCTAACACATTCTACCCCTGCCTTGCTCACTCAGGGGCAGGGCCTTGGCAACAAGCATTGACACACATTCTTCCTGCTGGGCTCTAAAAAACTGGACCTAAAAAATGGGGAGGCTTGGAGTTGACTGGGAAGAAATTAAAAGAAATGAATCAATGTGACCCAGATACTTCTGGGAAGTATATGAATCTATGTCCATAGCTCTAGCTGCCTCCTACATCGGTGACAACACAGGTAACTGATTTAGGGTGAGAAGGTTGAAGATTGGATCCTCTTCAAAGAGCTAAAGCCAATCATCTCACTAAAAACACAAGCATCTGAGATATTTATGAAACCAATACACCCAGATACATTATCCTCAGGGCCCAATCAGCTTGAATATTGACACCATCTAAATGCTAATTATCTAATACAGATAAATGCAAGTGGCTGATCGGGTAGTCAATTTTATGGAGAGATTGAACAACTAGTTCTATGAAACTGTCCAATAAAAAGAAGGCTGTTTAAACACAACACAGAATGAAGATGCTAATAGGGTATATCCAACAAATATGAATTGAGTGCCTCCAATAGCCCAAGCACTGCTTGGGGAGTTTGGACATGATAACGCTGGATGGAGACCAAGTGCCACTATTTATGGGCTTGCTTTATAGTGACAGGAGCAATTTACTCTCTTTACACTTTGCAGTTTCATTTAAAACATGTAGTAAAAACTCTGGTAATATTTTTCTTGTTTTATTTTGCTTTTTGTTTTTCAAGACAGTGTAACCCTGACTGCCCTGGATTCAATCTGTAGACCAAGCAGGTCTTGAACTCAGAGATTTGCCTACCTCTGTCTCCTGAGTTTGGGATTAAACATGTGCCATCACCTCCCAACCTCTTGCATTCTTTAAAAGAGAAAAGTAATTCTGAAATGGAAAGACATTTCTATCCCTCTGCTCCTTACTTTTCAAAACACTTTCTTGGCAGTATTATGAAGCCCTCTGAGATCTTCCCAAAGGGTTTCAATATTGACTAGGATTCTTTTTGCACATAACAGTGAAACAACAGCAACAACAAAAAACACATATCGTTATTCAACTGTTTCATTCTGTTTCCTTGAGTGAGAATAATCTGGGTTCAAACCTGCTCTCTTGAAATATACTGAATATTCTTGTTTGCATAGTTCTAGTATGTAAGTCAGGATCTTGCAATAGGCACTCAGTATATATTTGGTGAATGCTGAAAATATGGAATGTCATGATGGAGGGGAATTACACACCACTAAATCATACAAGGCACACAATATACACTTGATAAATACGATAAAAAGCATTCCATGATAATATTGACCCTTATTGATCCAAACTAACATTGTGTGTGTGTGTGTGTGTGTGAAGTAACAACATGTTCACTTGGAAGTGAACAACACTAACACTGTAAGAAAATGGACTATTGCCCCAAAAGTCTATCTGAAAATTTAAAAATGGAAATCATCTTTGTTTTGTTCACTGATTAATCAATGAGCAGTCTCACTCTCCTATTTGTAGACTCACCTGTACATGTATTTGATATAGAGGGACCAAGCAAGACTCTCTCCTCTACAAGTACTCTGGACCTATGATACAGTCTGCCAAATGGAACTACTTCTGCCTGAGCTCTTCATCAGAAACCATGGTGATATTCAGAACAACCCAAGACTTAACACAGTAATAAAGATTAAATAGGATCTTATTAGTAGGGGAAAAAGGGGAGAATGGATCTCTGTTGATTCAAACTGGCCTCAGTTGCTACACTCAATAATTATAGCGAGCCAATCCTCCTCCCTCTCTCTCTCTCTCTCTCTCTCTCTCTCTCTCTCTCTCTCTCTCTCTCTCTCTCTCTCTCTCTCTCATTTGCCAGGGTTTCTCCAAGTTTGCATCACTCTGGTCACAACAGTCTATATTTAACAATGTCAAGATGTCAAGTTAGTTACAGTGACGGCCAGCTAGAGCCCATCAAGCTTGAAGACTTGGCACCCGAGAGCTTGGAGGAGAACCCAGAACACCCACAGTGCAGGAGAACCGCAATGTGTGATGCTTAGCATTTTAAAACTTTCTGGATAACTGTCTTGAAGGACAGTTATTCTTGAAACTGCATCCCCATTTGTCATGCAAAATAAAAGCCAGGTTAAAACTTACCTTCCCACCCCAAAATAAAAACAGAAAAATAAAAAGTAAAAGGAAGACAGCCAATCAAACTTAAAAAAAAAAAAAAAAAAAAATAAAAAACAAAAAAAAAAAAAAAACCCCGCAATTTGTAATTCAAAGAAAGGAGGAATACTTGTGCTATAAAAAGTCAATGATATCTCGATCTTTCCTTTGAGGAAGAGAATATTTGAAGGTCATCAAAGTTCTAACAACCACAAATCCTTGGCCCAAAGGGTGAAGAAAATTAACTAAATTAGAGGAGTGAGGTGGATGTGGGAATCTGTTGAAACAAGCAACTGCTTGGTTCTTTTGGTGTCAGACAGATTGATTTCCCACAATGCTGGATGCAGAGTGGTATGATCTGGGCCTCACAGAAGCTTGGGTTACATTATTCCTTACAAAAGCATGGTAAGAATGGATGCAGGGTTTTGTGTTTTTAAGAAGTCCAGCATGCACTATTTATATGCAGGTCTCAATATCCAGGAATGGAAAAGGTACCTTGCTCTCATCTATTATGACAGAGTTGTGTGCAGCATAGACACACTGATTAGAGTTGCTTTCCCTATGGTTCTTCGTGTCGTCATAAATGGACTGCGTCTTGGTCATTTCAATGTCTTCATGCATTCGGTGTTGGGAGTCAATAGTATCTAGCTCAGACTTGGAGAGATGATAGACGATCCCAGCCCCAAAAGAATCGCCCACAACATTGACTGAAGTTCTCATCCTGTCCCTAAGGAAGAAGCACAGAAGTTCAGTGAGGAACTACTCTTTCTATGAACCTACAAAGAATATTTCAGAGTGTTGCTGCAACCAGCAAGTATCCAGAATATCTTTCCTCATGTCTTACATTGTAAGTTATGACTTGGGAAAAAAAATTGCAAGTTATGACTTGGGGGGAAAAAAAAGGTTGTTAAAGATCTAAAAACTCATCTCAGAAAATCAGCACCAAGAAATCTCACTGAGTTCTTCAAGGGTGGCTGTACTCTCTCATGAGGAAGTACAAGCCAATCAGTGTGAAGGAGCCTTTGACCACATTCCCTACACCTCCAAAGTCTTATCAGTGAATATTCTAGAAAGCCACCAATGAACTAAATAAGCAAACAAGTAAATGTGAAAAATAAGAAAAGGAGGTGAGGTAATGCTGTTGCACAGCACTTTCCATTCAAAGTCTATGAGTTTGATTAACCTACAGAATGAGTGGAAACCTCAATTTTAAAATTAGAACAATGACCCAAAATGAATCCAAACTGCTATGGTGCAATCTATCTGTCATTAGGAAGTAGGAATAATGACGTTTCACTAGGAAGAATCTGGCATGGCTCCCTTGCAAGTCTAGCTGTCCTGATTATTGTAACCCGGCACATCTGCCCATGGTGCGGGGGGGGGGGGGGTGGGGGGGGGGTGGGGGGGCGGCATATCAACTCATCAGAGCTGAACTTGAACTCTTCGGTGTATCTCTGTCTTTGAATGCACTGGTCCCTTTTCTTGTCTTAAAGATCTGGCTTGGAGGTTCGTGTTACCTGTATCTGAATGAAAATTTAGGCTTGAGGACATCCAGGAGTACTTGAAGCTAATAGTTAACAATGTCCAGCATAAGTGTCCAAGAGGGAACACAGGATAGGAGTTAACAAGGCATTAGAGACAGTCAGATGAGAATAAGAAACCCCACTTTGCTATTGCATAACAGGTTCACTAGGACAGCAGAAATATATTGTACATTTCAAAGGTAAAAGAAGGATGTGGGCAGTTTTATCATAAAGAAATTATTTCAGAAAAGACATACATATTTAACTTGACTAAGATACTACCCAATATATACATGCATCAGGACATTGTGTGGTATCTCTCTAAGTGCATTTTACATTATAAAACATAAAATTATATGTATAATTCCTTTATATACAGCAGACAAATAAATGACTGGGTTGTAGCTCAGAGATAAAGGACTTATTACCTAGAATATGAAAGGCCTTGGGTTTTACCACAACACTGTAAGAAAAGTCATAGAATGCACTCCAGAGGCAGCCTGTCTTGGAGTCAAATGTGATCTTTGTCCCTTACCTGTTTGCAGCTCTAAGCATCTTAATATGTGTGGGCTTTCTCAAAACTGAAATAATAAGAAATGGCCAGTGCACAGGGTTGTTAGGAAGTTAAAATGATATGACCTAAATGCTTATCACAGTTTCAGACACTTGCTGAAAATCTATAAAATGGTTATTTAACCTGATGACAGCATACACATAAAAGCACTACAAGTTTTATTCAGTCAATTCAAATGTATTTTGGCAGTTTCTAGGTAGCACATCCAAACATTCCTGGTTAAGCTACCATCTCCCCCCGAAAACATTAGCCTTATTTTTACTTCAACTCCTATAACAGTAGAGTGTGGCAGACAATGCCAATTATTACCTTGAATTTCCAAAAAAAAAAAAAAAAAAAAAAAGAGAGAGAGAGAATTAGTTCTGGGTTTTAGTAGCAAAGAGACTGCTATTGGTCCACTGAGAACAGTTTTTCAGGGCAGAAACGGGCTTTTGCAATTTGTGTAAAAGCTGTAAGGAAAAGTGGGGATGCTACATGTATATAACCACCTTTTCCATGAAGGTGGAAAAGCATAAAGAATGTTTGGCGAGAGAGGCAGAGCACATGGAGAAAGATTTCTGGGTTGTTTTTGTTTTAGAAGCAAAATACTTGAAGTTGATGAAAGGTTAAACAAAGCCCATTGAGAAGGCAAGACTAAAGGGATGGAGAAAAGATGATGATCTCTGGTGATGGAGTCCTGGATAGATCTGAGAGGATGGGACCCAAAATGGAGATGACAGTCCAGCCTGTCTTTTGGTAGATGGACTCAACTCTAACACTATGGAAGAAAAGGGACATAGGGTAATTTAATGAAGATGGGTTCCTCAGGAAGATGGCATGAGTTAACGGATGTATGTCAGACAGCAAGATGCCAATTTAGATTAAGCCTTATTTTACCAACTTTTTCTGTCACTATGCATCCTGCTAAAATTCCCAGTCAGGAGATCAATCACAGGTGTTTTGTTTGTATGTTGTTTGCTCCTCCAATACTGTAAAGCCAAGAAACTTCTAAACCACCAGGGAAATATCTTTCTGACTCTAGGGAACTGTAACTCTGGCCCAAAGAAGGATATGAAAATTTCTGGTTCATATGTGGAAAGTTTTCCACAAGAAAATAACTTTCATTTTCTGTCATGGTCACCCTTGGCCTCTTGGGAAAGTCTGTCTCTCATGATGACCTCAATTAGTAGAGAGAGAAAGGAGGGAAGAGGGGGAGGAGAGGGGAGAAGAACAGAAGAGGAGGAAGAAGAGGAAGAGGAGGGAAGGAGGAGAAAGAAAAGAGGGCAGAAGAAGAGAAGATAAAAATAAAAGGATTGGATTTGTTTTTGCCACCTCTGGGATTCTGTCTGCCAGGAGGGCAAGAAAGCAAAGGAGATTGGAACAGAATCTTGCATTTAATGAACTCACTATAAATGGCACAGCCTTTCTTTCTGGGCTGGCAGGCACCAAAAACTAGAGGGGGCTGAACAGTACTTCACACCAATCACTGGGTCTGGCTCATTTGAAGAAAATTAATTGCCAAGGTACTCTGGCTCATTTTTTTCTTGGTCCGAGTCGTCTGGCAGGAGATGTGAGACGGACTAAAGGTCTGAGTTCTCACAGAGAGTGCTGGGTCACTTAGCTCTTCTGGGTCTTTGTAATGTGTTGAATCCTGAGAAATGATCATTGTGGTAGATGTAAAAGAACCAAATGCTGGAATGTCAAAGAACTTCACCAAGTAGAAACAAAGCATAATGTGGGCTCTCAGAAGACAAGGTGCTGAGGGGCTGTCTTGATGGGCTCTGTGTGGCAGCAATGGGTCATTAGAAGGCTCAACTCACCTAGGATTCATGAGGGAAGAACACTCACCATCTGTTGTTTAAGATGTGATTGGGTTCCATTCGGTGGAGCCTTCCTGCTCTAATAGTCAGGTTTTCTAGCTTTCCCTGTGCAGCTTTCTCATTTGTCAGAGTGAGAATAAAACCCACAGGTGGGGAAGATTATAACTGCCAACAGGCCATCTGAGAGGTTCTTCACAAAATCCTCTGCACATGAAAGGATGATAAGGCACAAAACAAGTGCCCTTCCATTAGATGCTCCCTGTGCTATTACTGTTATTAGTCAAGGGACGAGCTCACTTCCTCTTCATTCCCCACCAGATGCATACTCCTCATTTTGCACCTAGCACACAGTTGGGATTTCTCGAGCACACCACATCTGGTTGTTGTTTTGAAACATCTTTACTAGAGTGTGAGCTCCTTGAGCACTGAGACCATGTTTATAATTTCTTTGGAGGAATTGGCTTCAGGACCTCACAGGGATATCCAGATCCACAGATGCTCAAGTCCCTTATACCAAATGTCCTAATACTTGCTTATAACCCACATACACTAAACCACTTCTAGATAACTCGCAATGCCCAGTCCAGTAGGAATACTACACAAGTGCCAGTGCTGTTTTGTTTTGGAAAGACATAAAACAAACAAACAAAAATGTCTGTATTAGTTCAGATGCAATTTTAAAAAAGTTTCTATCTACACTTGAAGTCTAAGAACATAGAAACCAAAGAGGGTTGTGAGCATTCATTGTGGCCTGGAGCAGGGTGGGAGAGTTGAGAAGTAGGTAGGAGCAGGAGGAAGAACAGAATGGACTGTTCATTTGGATTAAAAGCAGATGAATTTAGAAAGAAAGGATTGTTTGTTATTTAGCAAAATATCTGGCAGGATTTGCACAGTGAGAGGGAGGATGCAGGCATCATCTAAGTGGAGGAGGGAGTCCCAGAAATCCACACTGAAAGGAGTAGACAAAGAGCTGGGAAAGACTCAAAGAGAAGAACAAGAGGATTCAGTAAAATAAAACAACTGAAAATGGTCATCAAGGTAGGGGCGATCACGAGGTGTGTAGGACATTAAAGGGTTGTTATTCTTTTGTTTGTTTGTTTTTTGAGATACAGTTTCTCTGTAGCTTTGGGACCTGTCCTGGAACTAGCTTTGTATCCCAGGCTGACCTGGAACTCACAGAGATCATCTTGCCTCTGTCTCCGGAGTGCTGGGATTAAAGGCATGAGCCATCACTGCCTGCCTGGCAAGAATTGTTATTGTTAGGGAAGGAGATTCTTGGACACAGGCTCAGCAGTTATGAGCCTGGACTACTCTTGCAAAGGACCTGAGTTTGATTCTCATCACCCATATGAGGAAGCTCACAACTGCTCATAACCCCAGCTCCAGGAGTTCTGAAACCTTCTTCAGGCCCTGGAAAACACACTCACATGCATATACTTACACATAGATGCGTGCACATGAAAACAAACAAAAAGCAAAGAAAATCTCTTTTTAAAATGTAATTCCTATGCTGCTATTTCACAGCTGTGATGACAGGGTTCAGGGAACACTGAGATTCAACTGCAGGTGAAAGAGACTTTCCATTTTCATTTTCTTATTCTCCTTAGCTTTTACAACATATCAAAAATGGTCTTGCTGTGCAGAGTTTTACATTCACCCAGCCCCTGGATCTATGATTGCTTTGCTTTGGTTCAGGGATCTCCTGATTGGGCAGGAAGGCCTTGGTGGAAGGGCAGATGACATTCTACAGTGAAGCTGACAAGATTAGAGATAAGGAAAAACAGAAAAGAGGAGAAATCTGTGTGAATGAACAATGAAAGGCAAAGACTGA